TTGTTGTTTTTTATTTACAGGGTAATGAAAATTACCTTTTATTAACTTATTTTTTTCTCATCTGTTTTCATATGGAATAGTAGCTTGTGTCGAACGGCCGGCTTTAGTAAAATGCGGCATTCCCTTTATTTTTAAACGACAAGGAATCTTTTGATGAGACTTAATAAGAATATTGATTTGCTGGTATCGGAACTATTTCTTGCACATACAAAACCAAATATTGAAAATCTTCAAGGATATTCAAGGATACAATTTAAAAGGACATTTTCAAAATCTATTTCTTCTTTCGCACCAAACAATTTGATCTCTTTCAGTTCTACAAAATTTTCTCTTTTAACCGATAGCCATTTGTTATTTCTCATAGCACTAAATTTTTCAAATAAATTTTTGAGATAATCATTTCTTTGAAATTTCAAAGTTCTTTTAAAAAATCTGATGCCAAAAAGAGAGCGAGAGTTACGCGAGTAAATAAATTTTTTTTTTGGTGTAACATTTACTGTCGCACGGTGTTAACGTTCTATGTGCGACGCTCATTGGACTTGTCTTCTCTTTCATTTAAATGAACTCACGTAATCACATACTTATTTATCTATGCAACTTTACAAATACACACATTTAAAACCGTATGAATGTTTCTTTGTGAGTATATTCAACTTTGCTTCATCATGTTAGCTAACGAGTTACATACATATGTACATACAAACAAATGTACGTGGCTAATTAAAACGGTTTTTCATTTATTTTATCACTTCCAACTCAACTAAACTTAACTAAAGGCAAAACAAAAGTAGTGAATTCTCTCTCTCTCTTCGCTTTTTCGAATCCGAACAACGATTTTTGGTAAAAACCACTAGTAAATATTTACCAGAGAAATTTCACTTTTATTTTCTCTATTCAGGTGTCACAGAAACCAAGCATACAATACTTAAAAAAAAAAAAAATGAATGTAGAGCTCAGCATAGGGTGATTGACTTTCTATGAAAAACACAGTGAAGTGAAATATTCTATAGACATATTTATTTAGTATATTCAACTTTTAAGGGCTCGAAGGCACTCAGTCCTACTATGATTTTCAAAATATTTCTCCAGAAGATTTCGA